GGCGCTGCTGTCCCTGGAGACGGGTGGTCGTGCAGAGGGACGATCACGCATTCGCCGGAGGTGCGCTCTGGTCACCACTCCTTTGCGTTCCCAGGTCGCGCTCCAGGGGTGGGGCAGAGGGCTGGAAAGGGGACGAACAGAAGCCAAAGGGGTGCCCCAGTCCCACCCACACCCGGGGAGCCCGCATCCCCTGAGCATGGGTCCCGGACTCCCCTGGCTCTGCCCAAACCGCACGAAAAGTTTTGGCCAAGGCTGGGTGGGTGGGAAGGGCTCTAGGACGCAATTCGAAAGGTTCCTTCCAAAGCCTTCGGCCTCCTCCCCCGCCGGCCTAGTCCTCTCCGGAAAGGTTTCGGCTCCCTCCCCACCCCACCCGGCCTCGGAGCCCGGAGCCGCCCTTGGCCACTTCCTGGGCCCTTTGGACCCCCACTCCCACCCCCAGGGCGCCCAGCTGCAAGCCGCGACCGGCTGCGGTGGCGGCAGCACCCACGTGGAATGTGTGCCACGTCGTCTTGGAACTACCAGGGGAGAAGCGTGTCCCCAGGCTAAAGGGGTCTCCAATCCCCGCCGGAACCTGGGTGCCTCAAGGAGTCTGGCCGCTCCACGGGCTCCCTCTCTCCAAGCCTGGCCCGGGGGTGGGTGCGGGCGGGAACGCCCAGTGTTGTCTTGTTCCGGAAGCAGGCGGCTCCAGAACGTGTTTTCTTCCCAACCCGGGACCGCAAGTTTCAGCCCTAGGGGCCAGATCCAAGATCCGGAATCCGGATCAAGGATCGGCTCTGGACCCGCGCTGGGAGCAGCTCAAAGGCCCGGGGGCTGCGCAGGCGGCTCCTCTCCTTCGGCGGCGGGCGGGCAGGCGGGCTTCGGCGGCTTCTCCCGCCGTTGGGGTGGATTACAACGGCAGCCTCTGCAGGGGAAGAGACGCCAAAGCGCCCGTTATTGCCGGTGGCGGACCAGCGCCGGGAGCGAATTCCTCCCAGCCCCGCCCCTCCCCACATGACCCCGCCCCCGCGTGAGGCTCCGCCCCTGCCCGCGCCTCCGGCCCCGGGCGCGAGTATCGTTGGAGGCAGCGGAGCCTCACCTTAGGCCTGAACTTTTCTCTCCCCGCACCCTGCCACCGTCACCTCCGTGCCCCTGTCTGCCCTTACTGGCCCCCACCTCGGACGGCCCCCTCCTTCAGGACCTGCCTCGTTAGAAGGCGGTCTGACTAGCGCGTGCCAACCTGCCCCAAAGGCTGCGGATAAACCAGGAATAATGAAGTTTTGGAGACGGGCAGGTGGGGGCTGGGCCCCGCTGAGGGTCCGCAGGGCAAGGGGTGGGGAGAGGGAAGGCCTGTGGTCACCTACCTTATGTTTGGGACACTTCAAAGAAAAGTTCTCTTCGATGAATATGCAACCTGCCACCAAAGAGAAGTTTGGGTGGTTAGGATGGCGGCAGGAGTCTCATCAGGGGGCCAGGCGGGGAGGGGGGCCCAGCGCCCACGAGACCCTAGGCTCCAGGGCTTTTTGCAAAAAGTAAAGCAGCCCATGCTTGAAACCCTCCCGGTCTCCACCCCATCGCGACTGAGCTGAGGGGCCTGTGTGCTTTTTGTTCTCCCCAGCCAGCCCCGGAAGGCCCGCTTGTCATCCCCGAGGACTTCCTGACTCCCTCCCTATGGCAGATCCCCTATGCGTGTGTCTCTCCCCTGCCCCTGCCTCACTTCACTCGGCCACGGCCATGCTTGTCACTTCCTCCTACTGGTCTATGTGTCGGTTGCTTGCTCACCAGCCACTGGCACCTGTGCCGCTCAGAGCAGACACTCAGGATACGGGCTTGTCCCTGTGGGGGCCTCGAGGGGGGAGGCAGACCTGAGTCTGGGGGCAAGGGGAAGACGGGACTGAGGTCTTGGGTCTGAGTGAATCCCAGCAGGCATCTGGGTGCCCTGGGCACTGCCCACCCTGGGGGAACAGAGAGGACGCTGAGCATGGCCAGTCCCTGATGCCCACCTCGGCCCAGGGGTGCACTCATAACAAGCTGCCACTCCACTGCCTGATGCCACCTAGGGAGGCCCCGGCTTCTCCCCCAGGAGCCCCCAGTCACCACCCCCTCGTCCCCTTCTGGGCTCACCCCCACCCCTACCCTGCCGGCCACTGCTCTGAGCAAACCCCAAACCCATAAATAGCCGGAGGCCGGAGCTGGCCAAGCAAGGCCTCTCCTTCCAGCACATTCCTCCTGCTCACGCCGTGGCTCTGTGCCGTGGCATCACGGCAGCGTGGTGGCTGGTAGGCAGGGCGGGGAAGGGCAGGTCTGCAAGGCCTGAGAACAGGGCTGG